AGGAGAGGAGGAGAGGGCTGGGTGATGCCTGGCGTTCCCTAACAGGAAGGAAATAAAACCTCCAGCCTGGGCTGAACCCCCGAACCTGCAGCGCTGAGCCCCAGTTATGGGCCAGATCTTGGGGACCCAGGCTCTGGCAGGGGGAGACTGGGCTGTGAGGCAGAATCCCAGGGGAGCAGCGAAAAGCAGGGCCCCCGGAGTCGCGCGCACATTGTGCGCAGAGGACTGAATGTTGACTCTGATGCTGGATTACCCTAGTGTGAAGAAACAAAGCCTCCAGCGGCGCTGAGCCTCAGTCCGGACTGCTCTGAACCCCAGTTCTAGGCCAATCCCTGGGGACCCAAGCTCAAGCAGAGGGAGACGGGAAAGGCCGAGCCCCCGGAGTCGCGCACATTGCTTGCAAGGGAAGGAATGTTGACTCTGATGCAGGATTGCCCTGGAGGGAAGGAAACAGGAGCCCCGGCCGTGTTGGGCCCCAGTTTCTACTGCTCTGAACCCCAGTCCTAGGCCAGACCCTGGGGACCCAGGCTCAGGCAGGGGGAGACGGGGCTGTGAGGCGGAATCCCAGGGGAGCGGCGAAAAGCGGAGCCCCCAGAGTCGTGCACACTGTGCGCAGACGCGCACAATGCGTGCAGAGGACAGAATGTTGACTCTGATGCTGTATTGCCCTGACGGGAAGAAACAAAATCTCCGGCGGTGCTGAGCCCCACTCCCGACTGCCCTGAACTCCAGTTCTAGGCCAATCCCTGGGGACCCAGGCTCAAGCAGAGGGAGACGGGGCTGTGAGGTGGAGTCCTGGGGGAGCTGCGAAAAGCGGAGTCCCCGGAGTCACGCACACTGCGCGCAGAGGACAGTCTGTTGATTCTGATCCTAGACTCCCCTAGCGGGAAGGAGAAAAAAAGCTCCAGACTGGAGGAATGCGACGAGGAGCAGGAGCCCCTGCAGGACACCAGCCAGCCGGGCACCAGAAAGGAGCCGGGCGACGGGGCCCCCGGGGGTTGGGGGTGGTGCCCCTGAGCCTTTGAACGCTGAGCGCGGGCAACGGAGCCAAGGCCGGGGGTTGCTTCCTGGGCGGCGCCGACCCCGGAAACAGGCTGAAGCAGTGCAGGAGCCCGCGGAGAACAAAGGGGTGCCACAGGCCAACCTGCTGAGCTCCCAGGACAAGGAGGAAGAAACCAAAGAAGTTCTCAATGTGAAGAAATCAAGTGAGAGCAAAAGATAGTAAAATTACTTAAGAAAGAATACAAAGAAGATCTTGAAAAATCAAAGACTAAGTCAGAACTCAACTCACCAGCCAACATTGCAACATAAATGCGTTAAAAAAAAAAAAAAAAAAGGACAGAACGGTGGAATGGCAGCGGCCAGGCCTAGAGTGGCCAGGCACAAGGCAGTGGCAGCTGGACCCGGAGCAGCAGCAGCCAGAACCAGAGCATCAACAGCCAGCACTGGAGCAGCCAGACCTGGGGTAGTGGCAGCCAGGCCTGAGGCGGAGGCGGCCAAGCCCAGGGTGGCCAGTCCAGGAACACCCAGACCCGGAGTGGCCGGGCCGGGAGAGGCGGGGCCCAGAGCAGTCGGGTTGGGAGAAGCCAGGCCCAGAACAGCAGTAGCCAAGCCCGGAGCATCCAGGCCGGGAGTGGCCAGGCTTGGAGCGGCCGGGCCCGGGACAGCCGGGCCCAGAGCAGCCGGGTCGGGCGCGGCCAGGCCCGAAGCAGCAGCTGCCAGGCTGGGAGCGGCCAGGCCCGGAGCAGCGGCTGCCAGGCTGGGAGCGGCCAGGCCCGGAGCAGCCTGGTCATGTGCGGCCAGGCCTGGAGCAGCAGCAGCCAAGTCCAGAGCAACTAGGTCGGGAGCAGCAGTGACCAGACCCGGAGCAGCTGGTTGTGGAACGAACCAGAGCAACAGAGGCCAGGCCCGGAGCAGCCAGGCCTGGAACAGCTTGCTCCTTGCCTGCTCCTGCCCCATGGCTGCCTTCAGACATGGCTGGAAACTTTTGCGGGAACTTGAGGGTCTGCTGAATCAAGTGATGAAGGCTTAGATCTGGATATGTTGAGTTAGTATAGCGCTGGGGTGTTGATCTGTGAGTGCCTTGGGTGGGGCCTGGATGAGGCTGGTTGACTTATTTGGAAATGTCTTTTGTGTGAAGTATATCATTGGGCATATGGAGGTATTATTGATATGAGAAAATGCTAAGTAACTGATTTACTATCTGAAAAGGGATTTACTATCGGGGAAAGGGAGGGAGGAAGAGACTGAACATAAACTGTGCACCTATGGATGAGGACAATGGGGAATGGGGAGGGGGCAGAGGGTGGGATGGGAACCTGGTGGAGGGGGGAAGAAATGAGGAACCTTTGTAATAATATGAACAATAAAGATTGATTTAAAAAAAAAGAAGAAAAAAAAGAAACCTTAAAAAAAAAAAAAAGAAGTTCAGTTACTAAACTGTTTTGATATGTGCTGATGGAGTTCAAAATCTGAGCACAGATTGCAAGAACTTTTCAGAGTTACATGTACTGTATACTTGTACTCCTAGTGATGCTCTGTCACTAGGATAATTAGTGCAAACGATGATGACTGTGTAAGGACAATATCTTCTATGCCATTCTACCAGTAAATGGCGGTTTCCAGGGTCAGAGAAGGAAGAGTGATGAGCACTTCCTCAACAGTAGCCAACATGTGAGTCAGTGTGGGCCTATCCTGTCCTTCCATTTCACTTACATGTTTGTTCTGCCTATAAGTCTCTGGGAGAAAATTTCAGGTGAGGTCCTGTGGGGGTGAGGTACCCAGGAACTAGATTAGAAACTAGGGCATCTTTGACATTGTCAGCTTATTTCCCCATCCCTTAAGCCAGGGGGTGATATTTGGTCAGTCCATGAGGAAAGCTTTCTGAGAAGACAGAGGAAAAAAGTCACTTGAGAGCCACAAAACAGAATGGGAAATTATTAGAACAGTTGCTTAAGGGAGGAAGAGAGACATGAATCAGACGATGAAGAAGTTTACCCTATGGAGATTTACAGAGAAAGATGGAAACTAGTAAAGAAAGAGATCGGTAAGTATTATATATGGGCACCTAATTAAGTGGGTTTTAGGGAAAGTTGGGCTGTTAGTCCACGAGAAGCTGAGTTTGAAATAGCAGTGTGAAGTGAAAGCCAAAAACATGAAATACTAGTCTTCATTAATGAGGGGACAGGTAGTGAATTTTTTCTTTAAAAATTATTTTATTAATTTCAGAGAGGAAGGAAGAGGGGGAAAGAGAAACATCAATGATGAGAGATGTTTCTGCACACCCCATAGTAGGGATCAAGCCTGAAACCAGGGCATGGGCCCTAACAGGGAATCCAACTGTGACTTTCTCAATGATGCTCAACCACTAAGCAACACTGGCTGGGCTGTGAATTCTTTATTAATGGTCAAATTATATTTTGAAGAATACATTTAGTACTGAATTCTTTACGTCAAAAAGTGAGTAGGCAATCTGAAATGCTTAACGATCTATAATGATGATTAGGAGGAAAAACACAAAGTTGGATAAGGTAGATATTTTAGGAATTAATTTAGATTATTATTATTATTTTTATGTTGGGCTTCACCATGGAGAGTAAGCTCTCATTCTGATCTATTCATGTGAGAATTAAGAGATGATTAGAAAATTTGAGTAAAAATTTGAGGCACTCATATTATAATCCCAATCTTATCAGCCTGCCCTATATTTTGAAGGCTTACAGGTCTAGAAGTATTTGTGGCTTTGTTATGTGTAAAATTGGCACTCATATGCATCTCTTTAAACCATATTTAATCTTGAAACAATGACAATACCAAGTTATCCTTCTACGTAACATGATACAACTATCCCATATACAGCCAGCAACATGTTAACTTTATTCCAAAAAGAGGAATAAAACACACCAACCCTTTCCCTGTAAAAAGATATAATTTTTTTTGTCTTTTGGTGAAATCCATCCTACTATCTATTTCATACTCCCCTTTTATATCCTGTGACTAAATAATGGGTTATGACATTAACCACATTTAAAAAATTAAATTTATTGGGGTAATCTTGGTTAATAAGATTATGTAGGTTTCAAATGTACATTTCTGTAATACATGATCTGAATATTGCATTGGGTGCCCAATACCCAAAGTTAAATCATCTTCTGTCACCCTTTACCCTTTACTATCTTCCAACCCCCTCCCTCTGGTAATCACCATACTGTTGTTTGTGTCTATTGAGGTGTTTTGTTTTTTTCTTATTTGTTCATTTGTAGCTTTCAGTTTTATATCCTATATATGAGTGAAATCATATAGTTCTTAACTTTTTCTGTCTGACTTATTTTGCTTAGCATGATATTCTCAAGGTCCACCATGCTGCCACAAATGGCAATATTTCATCTTTTCTGTAGCTAAATAGTATGCTATTGTGTGTATGTGTGTATATACTACACATTCTTTTTCCAATCACCTATCAGAAGACACTTTGGTTGTTTCTGTGTCTTGGCCACCATGAATAATGCTACAATGAACATAGGAGTGCATAGATCTTTGCAAATACTTGTTTTCAAATTTTTTTCCCAGGTAGATAACCAGAAGAGGGTTTGCTGGGTCACATGGTAACTCTATTATTATTTTTTTAAGAAACTTCCATATTGTTATCCATAGTGGCTGTTCCAGTTTACATTCCCATAGCAGTAAATGAGTGTTCCCTTTCTCCACAGCCTCTCCAACACTTGTTATTACTTTTTTTTTTTTAACAGAAAATAGTTATCCCAACAGCTGTGAGGTGTATCTCATTGTAGCTTTGATTTGCATTTCCCTAATAGCTAGTGAAGTTGAGCATCCTTTCATCCATTTTTTTGCCATTTGTATGCCTTTTTGAAATAAGTATCTATTCAGGTTCTTTGTCAATTTTTTTAAAACTGGATTGTCTCTTTGTTTGGTGTTGAGTTGTATGAGTTCTTTTTGCTACATTTTGAACATTAATCCCTCATCAGAGCTGTTGTTTGCATATAACTGGGAATAGATGGAGATAGTATTATAAGAACCCAATAAGCTGGGTCTACTTATTTAGTCACCTCTCTTATATTACACAATATGTAATACTCTGTATAGACACTGAGAAGATAAGTGAATGTACAGACTCCCTAGTCATCCATCCAGTACAGTAGAGTAAGTCCATCTTCATTTCTGTTTTTTTATTCACAAATTACACTGAGATCTCTGGTGTTGGGGGATACAACTTCTTTGAAGAACAAAGTGTAAGTCCTTAGGAAAGTCAGGCTCCACTTACAGTTCCATCTCTCAACTCAGCCTTTAAAACAATGGGTTTTTTTGCTTGAATAATTCCTGAAAAATCTAGTTCCAAGGGAATCTGCAAATGTTAAACAGCATATGAGGACCAGTTAATGAAGCACTGTCAACACCAAAAGCAAAGCAGATAAGATACTTTGAGGACAATAATGCTTTACAATATATAGAAATTACTTTTAGCATAATATATCTTTGTTTCTTTATACTTATTCAGTGGTCAGTGAAAGCATTCATCAGTATATTCATTCAAGAAAATATCAATTACAGCATCTATTCTGTATCAGGCCAGAGACAAAATCATATTGGTTTGTGCTTATTTTTGGCTTGAATTTTAAGCAAATGAATGGATTTTTGAAATTTAAACCAGATTCTTAGGCCTTATGAAAAACTATTTAGAAAAGCCATACATAATTCATTTTGTTCATATTGGAGCTTACAAGGTAACCTGAGTACAAATTACACATTTTAATTATTTGAACAATCCATCACTTTTAAAGAGTCCAGTCACTTCTCCCAGTGGAAGCCTTCTAGTTTCATGATGGGAAAAGGTATTTGTCAAGCGTTGTGCCTATTTTCTAACATTTCTTGGTTCCCAGTGTAAATAGTGAACTTCTGAATAGCGTTTTGACCTAAATATTGTTTTAGTTCTATTTCCACCCAGTCACTCCCTCAGTGTTGGGGAGCCATCAACACAGTAACCTTTAGATCTCAGTTCACTGAAGGGCAAGAAAATTGTCATGGAGGGTGAAAAGCACAAGCCAGAGATGACTGGGAGCTTTCAGGGAGCGTCTGCCAGAGGCCCACTTCCTCTCAGGGCTAAGACCCCCTTTGTATGTACTTACAGGACTGCTTCACAGCTGCCTAAAGCCACAAATAAGATGGAAACCATCTCTAACCCTCTTCTCTGAGAAATCCTACTTAAGGAAAGGATCTGCATAATAAATATACAAGTCCTAGAAATAAGCCTTATTAGAGGGCCTTGCTTGCTATGACTCAAAGACAATGATTATGTTCTTCAGAGGAGAGATTCCAGATCTTCCATTAATGTAAAACCTTCCTATTTTATAATTTCAAGTAGCATGTATATATTTCCCCTGTACACAGACCAACACACGTAGAAAATGTACATTACAAATGCTATTTGTTAAAATTTCCAAATTAAATCATTTAAAATGTGGATTCATGATCTCCAAATCAAGTGCAAAATACTCTTTAAGCAATTCCTGAATGAACACAAGGCACCATTGGGAATTTATGAAAGGAATAAAATGAGGTGCTGGACTTGAAGATATTCTTAGATACAAAGAAAACGTAGAGTACCAAACTTGATGGCTTAATTATAAAGTTTTCAGTTTGGTAGGATAGTGATGATACCAGCCTGCAGTAGCAATAACATGACAAGAGAAAAAAATGGGCTCTGGACTAGATGGGAAGCCTCTTAGAAGGGCTTTGGGAGTGAACTAGGACTTGAAAGATGAGAGCAGAATGAGGGAGAGAGTGAGAAAAACATCATAGAGTTCATATTAAGATGTAAAAAACCTAACTTGATTGCAGTCTGGCTCCCAGAAGCAGGTTTCAAGTAGCCAGGATGGTCATGGACTGTAGGAGTTCTTACGTCAGGCAGAAATGCTTTAAACAACCTTGGCTGCACATGAGAACCAAAGGGGGTGCTTTTAAGGCCACACAGGATGGATTATTTTAGAATCTGAGATGACCCAGGCATAGGATTTTTAAAAAGATCCCTGCTGATTTCATTGCATAACCAGGGGTTGAGAACCCTATCACAAGAGCTTCTGCAAGTTCTGGTGGGAAAGAGCAGTGTTCAAAAGTCATGACCCAGTTACCATTGTACGTCAGGACTGTGCACAGCACTTCCCCTTCCTTCCAGTGGACTTGAAACCAAATTTAAGCTTTTCTCAAAGGACTCTACATTATCATGTCACACTAACCACATTGACTCTTGATTGCCTTTGTAGTTGGATAGTTATAAAAACACAGGCTTAGCACTCCAGACTACCAGGATTTTCGAGGTTACATGTAACTCCAGATAGATTCTCTGGCCAACAGAACAAAGTATTAAACAACGAATGAGCACACACATGCATACATACTTCAGTTTAAGAAAAACGCTCAGTCAAGCATTATTCACACAGAGTGGTAACGTGTTAGGTTTCTGACCTGTGTTTCTTCGCAAGTTTTGAAGGAGAAGTTCTGCAGAACTCTGACGAGAGCAATTTTTATGTTCATGAGAGCAAACCTCATGCCAATGCAGTTTCGGGGTCCAGTTCCAAAGGGTGTGTATATGTAGGGATTTATTTTGTTCTTGTTCTCCTTACTGAACCTGTTCATGTAACAGAAGATGCAATCACTTAGTGAAACACGAACACCACGAGAGCCACATGCTTGGGGTTCTTAGGCTCCTCTGTGAGTAGGATACAGAATACTCCTTTGGGCTAGTCAGTGAAATCCTGCTGTAGTTGTTTTGCTGGAAGAATGGTAAGCTACAGATCCTTTCCATTCCCTATATCCTCTATGAGCTAACAGTATCATTGAAGAGATGACATGAATGCTGTTTAAAGGAAAATTTATCTTTAAACACTAAATTACATTCAGGGTTTTGAGATGCTCACACTCTGAAAGGCAAGTATGAAATGGGACTCTTTGGAGAAAAAGTAGGTCCCTGCCTCCATCAAACTCATGTTGGTCACATGCTCATGGAGGAAGGAAGTAGGAATTGTTATCTCTCATTAGTTAAATTGTTATTTTCTTCCCCTTTCTTCCCTTGACCCCTTTCCTCTCCTCCCTTCCTCTCACCGCTTCTGTCCCTCTCCCATTGAGTAGCTTAAATCAGACGACTCATATGGGCATATGATGCTCCTCTACTCTAGTATCTGTGATTTCCTTGCCTACCTGTTCCACTAGGCTATAAATTCCTTGAAGGTTAGACTTATGTTTTATACAAATTTGATTCCTCAATATTTTATTCCATTAAGGGGAAATGTGGATTTGGGAAAGTGATCGTGGCATTGTGGTTATGTATTTTTAGAAGGTTCTTATATTTTGGAGAACATTGGAATATTTAGAGATGGTGTGCCTTAAAGTAATATGGGAATTAGGAGGATGGTAATAACGGTGTGTGAATGGGGCAGCAGACTTAGTTTGATGGCTGTAAACATGTAATTGGGCACACATAGATGAATTAAAAGCATTCCTTAGACTCATATCTATAGAAAATGATTTTGTATGTGTCATATATTTGTGTAAATGTCAAATTCTCCATAATAGGCACTTTTTAACATTTGGATTTCTCACTGCCTTACCCACTTCCTGAGATGGTAAGCAGTTACTCTCTGTGGATGACTTAATGATCACAAGAGCAGTACAATCAGTGGTCTCTGGTTTCATGTTCATGAAGCTATGAGGTGTGGGGGCAGGGGAAGGGAAAACTGTTGAGCTTAGAAGAAACACAGAGGCCCCTTGGTCCAGAAAACAGAGGATTTGGTCACATCTAACTTCTTTCTTTTCTTTTTTTTAAATATATTTTATCGATTTTTTTTACAGAGAGAAAGGGAGAGGGATGGAGATTTAGAAACATTGACGGGAGAGAAACATTGGTCAGCTGCCTCCTGCACACCTCCCACTGGGGATGTGTCTGCAACCAAGATACATGGACTGGAATCAAACCCAGGACCTTTCAGTCTGCAGGCTGACACTCTATCCACTGAGCCAAACCAGTTAGGGCTAACTTCTTCTTTCAACAAATACTATGTGTAGACAATGAGCTAGAACTAAGAACACTATGCAAATGAGCGAAGGCCCCTGCCATTAGGGATCTTACAGTACGGCTGACGAAAGCCTAGATTCCAGCTAATGCCTTCAATAGTTAATTCCAATTTTGCTCATTGATACAATAAATGGGAAACATCAGCTCTCTCTAGAATTCAAGCTATGCCCAAAGCTAGACCTTCTTGGCTCTAAATTTCCAGAAGAATATGCTAAAGACCATCTTAGGGGGAGGGTCTCAGGTGTCTGGAGAGCAGGTGACGTTTCTTTGGAAGTCATCAAATACTGAGAGTAGGAGGAAGCTGACACGGGACTGTAGCCAAAGACAGACCAGTGACTTGTGTTCACCTCTGTCCTCAAGGGGCTGCTTAAATCACCAGCGATGAGGACCTCTCAGGTTCTCATAATGCACTAAAGCACTCTCCCAATAATGATAAAGGCGTGGCCACCAATGTGAAAAACAACAACAAACCACAGCAAAACAGAATGCAGGTACGTTGGTGTAAATTCAGAGAGCTAATGAGAACAGCACAGAAAAGTTTAAAGAAGTAAAAAAAAAAAAAAAAAAAAAAAAGCCTACATTCCTAAAGTCAGATAATGATTAAGTAATTTATGGCATAAGCATATAGTCACATATGCATACATATTTATATGTATGCATACCTACATATGATGGTTATATATAATAGGACACTGTTTATAGTTTACTGGTAAATAAAGTAAGCAGTTCAAAATAAAAATATATATTACCATTTTAATTTTAAAAATCTATACTTAGAAAATGTCAGTAATGACATACATTGCATTACTAATGAGGCCTATCTTAAGGTATTAAGACTATGGACAGATACAATTTTTTTTTAATCTAGCCTAGAGTTTGTAAAATTTTTGTCAACAAACAATGATTACTCTTATAATAAGAAAAAACAATCTTGTAAAAACAGAAAAATGTACATATAAATGACTGTACAACCACATGTTCGTCATCTATACTAAAAGACGTCAGAATGTGCCCAACCAGCCTGGATGAGGTTCCCTTTCTCAGGGGCCCAGTACCTTTCAGGACGGAACTCCTCAGGCTCTGACCAGTACTTTGGGTCTAGGTGAAGAGCATAGCTTGGCACCAACACTACCGTCCCTTTGGGAATGAACACCCCATTGACTTCCACATCCCTCTTACACATCCTCTCAAGTCTACCAGCAATTGGGTACAATCTGAGGGATTCATTCACCACCATGTCAAGATACTCCATCTGTGCCAGGGCATCATAGGTGGGGGTTGCCTGGGAAGAAAGAAACAGATTCTGATAAACTGAGATTTGAGATCAACTTTCAACTCAGTCTATGTAGTTCTATAGAAATGTTAGGAGCTCCAAAGAATAAGTTATTTGGGTATAAAAACCTTAGGATTTATAGATATTTTAATATCTATCAGGTCCTTTGACCTGCCTTAATGGCCCACTGAGATGTGTGGAGTAGTTATGACTATGGGGGGCATTGGGGACAATACCCTAAATGGGACCCCAAACCCCCCACATTACCATGTAGTGATTTTTTTTTTTAAACTCATGTGAGTAATAGATTATGACCTATATTCTTAACTGAAATATGCTAAGGTTTTTTTTGTTTAACCTTCTCACCTTTTTTACCTAGCCCCCTTCCCTTCTGATAGTCTATTCTCTATATATGGGTCTATTTCTATTTTTAATAGATAATTTAAAAAATCAATTCATTTGTAAATATAAGGCATTTAGAATAGACAAATATAGCGAGAAGTATATGTTAACTGTAGTGTTGTTGTCATTGTAATTCTTATTAAGAGGGGAGGACATAATACTTTAGCTAGCCTGTTTCTTAGTGACCTTTCCATCTTATTGCAATAATATGATCTCCAATATAGGCTTACCCAGAGAAGAAAAAAATAATCTCTAATTTAGTTGGACCCTAACATGTATCTCTATGTTATATTTGAAGGACCTATGACACAGAGAGATCTTAAGACCTATCCAAAACACCCAGTCTGGACTCAAACTCATGTCCTCTATTTCCTACACTATGTTCTTTTCTGTATGCCAGGCTTCTCCTAGGTTGCAGTTTACCCAAGGTAGCAGATTCCAGGAATAGTGCCAGCTTTCCACACCTTCTGTATCCATGCCCTTAGTCATCTAACTCTGTGCCCTCCTATTATGATGCTGGGTTGGCCATGGTGCATGCTTTGAACCACATGTGTCAAACACAAGGCCCGCGGGCCAAATCCGTCCCGCCAGGCCTTGCAATGTGGCCCGCACCGCGCTGTCATCACTGCACTCCGCTGCGTTTCCATCACAATGACAGTTTATGACTGTTCAGTAAACCATTCAGCCCGCGATTTAGGCTGGATTTTAGATTTTGGCCCCTTCTCTGATTGAGTTCGACACCCCTAATAGACACTTGAGCAATCAATTCCTATTGTTAATTGCCACTGAGGTTTAATTTTTTTTTCCCATTTGACATTATTGTAATAACAGATAACTGACACACAAGACCAACACTTTTTTCAAAGATCTTATGTATCTCTAATAACAAAAATTACCTATAGTTTTTCTTTGTTTTTGTCTTTTTTTTTTATCCTTCCTAAATAGCATAAGTAAAATAATTGGTGATTACATTCTTTGGAAAGATTCTCCTAGAAAGTGTTGAGGAGGCATTCTTGATAAGGCTTTCCATTCTCCCTCGTCCTCCAGGTACCACCCACTCACCTTATTGGGAAATGTTGCATCAATCTCCTCTTGCAGCTTCTGCTGCACATCGGGGTGAGTGGCCAGCAAATACATCAGGAAAGAAAGAGAACTGCTAGTGGTCTCATAGCCGGCAAAAATAAAGATAATAGATTGGGCAATAAGCTCCAGATCAGTCAGAGCTGAAAGGAGAAGAAAGATATTTTATAAAGCAGGTCAATGTACAACACCACAGTTTAGATTATGAGAAATCCAAATGAAACTCCCAAACCCTTATAGGACAAATTGAAAAAAATAATTCAGCTTAAATTGGGAGTGTTTTGCACTCTGATGTGTATATAATAGAGGCAGAAAAAGGCAAAAAGATCTTCATCTGTTTTTTCCCCCACCACGGTCTATTCTATTCTTCACCATCTGCTTCTGGTTATATCAATCTGTCCACAACATAGCTGTGCAATTTGAAGACATAGCGTTTTGTGTCACATGCACAGTGTTATCAGTATGTCCCTTGGAGAATCCCAAAAGTAGTTTAGCTACAATATGGGATAAGTTTCTCCCCAGGAAATTTTTAAATTATTCTAGATAAAGTATACATGGATAATTTTTTTAAATGTCTTTTTAAATATATATATTTTTATTGATTTCAGAGAGGAAGAGAGAGGGAGAGATAGAAACATTAATGATGAGAGAATAACCAATCCACTGCTTACTGCATGTCCCCCACTGGGGATGGAGTCTGCAACCCAGGCACACACCCTTGGCACACACCCAGGAATCAAACCCGGGACCATCCCCCCTCGCCCCCCATCCCCCCGTCACCCCGAGTCTACAGGCTGACACTCTATCCAATGAGCCAAACTGGCCAGGGTTCTGGATAATTTTTAAGAGACTGCACTAAGGCTTATGCAGGGGGAAATGAAGGATCTTTCATTCAAAAATATTTGCAGAAACTTAAGAGAATGATATTGTGCTACACATAAAAAATGGTTACTCTAAGTATTGTCCATAGACCAGCATCATCAGCAGTATCTGGAAAGTTATTAGAAATGTAAAATATTGCCAAAACCGGTTTGGCTCAGTGGATAGAGCATCAGCCTGCGGACTGAGAGGTCCCAGGTTCAATTCCGGTCAAGGGCATGTACCTTGGTTGCGGGCACATCCCCAGTAGGGGGTGTGCAAGAGGCAGCTGATGGATGATTTTTCTCTCATCGATGTTTCTAACTCTCTATCCCTCTCTCTTCCTCTCTGTAAAAAAATCAATAAAATATATTAAAAAAGAAAAAAGAAATGCAGGATATTAAAACCCATATGAAAACTACCGAATCACAGAATCAGCCATCAAGAGATGTGAATGATTTGCATAACTAGAACAAAAAAACACACACCAAAATTTATATAAAACCACAAAAGTCCTCAAATAGCCAAACAATGTTGGGAAAGAACAAAGTTGGAGGTGTCACACTACCTAATATCAAACTATACTACAGGACTATAGTAATCAAAACAGCATAGTGTTGGCATAAAAACATATATAGATCAATGGAACAGAATAGGGAACCAAGACCTACTGTATATGGTCAATTAATATATGACAAAGGAAACAAGCATATACAAGGAAGTAAAAATAGTCTATTCAATAAATGTTTGGAAAATTGGACAGATATGAGAAGGAAAAAAAAAGAAAGAAAAAGAAACTAGACGATCTTTTTAAAAATCCTCATCCAAGGACATGCTTATTCAGTGAGAGAGAGAGAGAGAGAGGGAGAGAGAGAGAGAGAGAGGCTTCAGTATGTGCCCTGAGTGGGGCTGCGACTGGGGACCAAACCTGCTGCCCAGACATGAGCCCTATTTGGGATTGAACCCACAACCTTTCAGTGTACAGGAGGGTGCGCCAACCAACTGAGCCATACTGGTCAGGGCCTAGACTATCTTTTCACACCGTGTACAAGAGTAAGCTCAAAATGAATTAAAGACTTAAATGTAAGATTGAACTATAACAATGCTAGAAGAAAACATAGGCAGTAAAATCTCTGACATTTTTCTTAGCAATGTTTCCCCCCTGACATATCTGTTTGGGCAAGGGAAACTATAAATAAATGGGACTATATCAAACTAAAAAGTTTACACAGCAAAGAAAACCATCAACAAAACAGAAAGACAACCTAGTGAATTAAGGTCATCAACTACCTCACTGGCCCTCTGAAGCACGCCTTGTTTACCTTTATGGGAGTCTGTTTCTTTGGAATTCTGAGAGTTAATCATCAGCTGAAGTAAATCCACTCGGTGCTGGAAGCAGAAGGAGAAATTTCAATGTTAGAAATAAATCAGGAGTGCAATACTAGACCTAGCTGATTTGGCTCAGGAGACAGAATGTCAGCCTGTGATCAAAGAGTCCTGAGCTTGATTCTGGCCAAGGGCACATAACTTGGCTGCAGGCTCCTCCTCGGCCCAGGCCCCAGTCAGGGCTTGTGCAAGAGGTAACCAATCTCACATCAATCTCACATCGATGTTTCTCTCTCTTTCCCTCTCCCTAAGGAAAAATATCCTCAGGTGAGGATTCACAACAACAACAAAGTGCAATACTAAGTTTCTTTCCTGATGAGATGGCCCTTTAAATCCAAAGGTGTGCCTGAGTTATCAGTGAATAAAACATCCAGCTACAAATCCTAGAGAGCAGGATGTTTCCTGAGAAAGATCCAGCCATCGTGCCCAACGGTTTTTTGGTCCTCACTCTCTCTGATCGCCAGCTTCTCTCACTTTTGAACACAGCTTCCTGGCCAAGCAATTCCCTGCTCCCTCTCCTGTCACGCCTGTATGCTCACAAAAATGTCCCTGTCCTCAATACTTTTTTTCTCCAGCCTTAAGTCTTTAAAAAAAAAAAAAAAAAAAAAAAATATATATATATATATATATATATATATATATATATATATATATATATATTTTATTGATTTTGTACAGAGAAGAAGGGAGAGAGATAGAGAGTTAGAAACATCGATCAGCTGCCTCTTGCACACCCCCCTACTGGGGATATGCCCGCAACCAAGTACATACCCTTGACTGGAATCGAACCTGGGACCCTTCAGTCTGCAGGCCGATGCTCTAGCCATGGAACCAAACCGGTTTTGGCCAGCCTTAATTCTTTTTTTTTTTTTTTTTTTTTAATATATTTTATTGATTATTTACAGAGAGAAAGTGAGAAAGAGAGCTAGAAACATTGATGAGAGAGAAACATCGACCAGCTACCTCTTGCACACCCCCTACTGGGGATGTGCCCGCAATCAAGGTACATGCCCCTGACCGGAATTGAACCTGGGATCTTTCAGTCCGCAGGTCAATGCTCTACAGCTGAGCCAAACTGGTTTCGGCCAGCTTAATTCTTAATGAAGGGCCACATAGGTGAAGCTCCTGATATTTGAAGAGTTCATTGGCAGTTTTTCTGTGAGCAGCTTCAAGTGCCACTGTCCCAGAACTCTCCACAACATTCAGTGCTATTCTGGGGTGCCCAGCCCGATCCCCATGGCCTGCAGACGTGCTTGTGCTGGCCTCCAGGCCCATGATGGCAAAGCTGGGTTAGCCAGCTTGCAACCTCAATGCCCAGAGAAGACTACTGCCCTCTCCAGTCTCTGAGCAGGCTCCAGTTTAACACAGAGCACTTCCCCAGGGGCCTGATGACAACTCCCACTGCAGGATGTGTACAATAAGAGGCTTGGAATTGATGTGATTCTTTGCCAATTTTAACTCTGGGCAATTATACCAGGGAAACAAATTTTAAACAGCAATTTTTATACTTTGATAATTTAAGGAAAGTGGAAAACTTTTCATCTCAACAATATTTATGCAGTGATATACTGACCTTTGTGCCCATTACTATATTACATGTTAGACAGTGTCTCTCTGACTCATCTTTTCTTTCCTTCCCTAACCTCCACCTTCTTCATTCCCCATAAAATGTTAGAACTTTCCTCCTGTAAACCTACAGTCCTTTATCTATCTAAAGAAAAAAAAAGTGCACAAATCATATGTATCCAGCTCAATAAATTATCAAAGAGTGAACACACTCATCTAACTACCACCAGATCTTACCTTTTGTTTATCTTGGAGGCGACTTTCTTTCATTCTTTTTACAGATTTTTTAAAAAAATCAGTTACACTTTTTGGAAACAGAAAAATATTAAATGCTTCAAAAACTGGGCCAAGGAATGGAAAGAGTGCTGTAAGAAAAAAAGAAAGCACAATGAAAATACGAAATGTTCCGGGAGCAATTATAATTTCCTCTACCAATGAGAAGAGTAAAAGACACCAGACTTCTCAACCAGCAGTCAGTATTTATCTATCTATCTATCTATCTATCTATCTATCTATCTATGTATCATCTATGCCACATGTTTTATCCATTTATCTGTTGACAGACACTAGGTTATAAAAATGATAGAATTATACATTTTAAATAAATGAATTATATAGTATGTGAATGATATCTCAAATGAGCTGAGAGAGAGAGAGAGAGATAGAAGAAGTGGGGAAAGGAGGGAGGAAATAAAAGAGAAAGAAGAAAATAAAACAGTAGTTCACGTACTTATGCAGAGAATGAATGGATCAAGGAAATTAAATTTTAAGAGCTTCTTGGTATTTTCCACAAAGGGATCTTGTGGGTTGTTGAGGGAATCGATGTTCACTCCAAATGATGTGCCAGTAATCACATCCATGCTGTAGGCCCCAAAGATGCTGAGTAGTGAAAGACAGAGAAAATTAAAATCAGCACTTTTACTATCCTTATCCAACGCAGACAATAGGCAGGACATGTAAATTCATATACTCAGACAAAGACAGGGAAAGAGCCACACAGCTGTCAAAACCTTCTGTTAGATCATCTAAAGGATCTATGCTCCTGTCACAGTCAATCATGAGGTGTTTATCAGATGCCAGTCATGGCACTGGCCCTGTGCTGGGTTATGGGGACACCAAGGCAAGTTAGACCCACCTGTGAGCAATAGGAGATCAGTCAGAGGGATGGGGACTCAAAGTCAGACAAATTACGGTGGCGTGTTTTGAGTCTGGACAATAGTAGATACTGTGCTTGAGCAGGACAAAGGGTAGGTAATGACTCCTCCTAATGGAGTCAAGAAGGGTGACACTGATCTGAGTCTTGCCTCACCACAGTGTCTGCACTCAGAGCTGATTCTGCTTCAGCACGTTACAGAACAGCAGCACCTGGTCTGAGTTGCCAGGAATGCCATCGCTCCTTCTCTGCACTCTTGCTGAAGCTCCTGAAAGACCCACCCTCCTCAAGTCCAGTGATCTCAGGTTGCCTTTAGGGCACATTCATTTCCTTAAAATGTAAGAACTAAGAATGTTTCTGGTTTAAGAAATAATTTTTAAAAATCACCCCAAAATCAATTTGGTGGAACCCCATAGGTAAGTGATCATATGTCACCAGTTTTCCCAGATCAGCCCCATTTTACCTCCATTGTTCCTGCATAGGAACATAGTTAAAAGTATCTTAATTTAGACAATAAATGTCACGCTCACCCTACCCATAGTCTATACAGGACCACCTTTAATTTGAGAGTAAAGAAAGGAGAAGTGGCGGTAAGGTTTATTATTTCATATTTTGCTGATATCCTCACCAAAATCATAACGTTGTTCCAAGTTACACACTGTAACTTCCCAGCCCCACCCACTGCTCACTAATACATACCAGTGCCTCCCCCTGCCATATTTCACATCCTCTACACGAAAACTTTGGTACAATCATGTTTCTACTTTCTGAACTATGTATTTTTGTCTTCAAGAATATCCAAGGTGACAACTAAGCAGACAGATTAATCCTGGTTCATGTGCACAGGAGGAGATCTTTCTCTCCTGGCTGCCCTGCCTTTTTGGAGGAGCCACATCCTCTTGGGTAGCCCACTGGGGTTCTAACACCGCACACCCACTGTCTGGTCATGATAGTACTTCAGCGGAATTCGGCTCTGGCAGGCGGCTGGGGGTCTTGGAGCAGAGCTCAGAGTCTCAGCAGCTGGCCTACTACTCACTCTTTCAAGGTGATGGGCTTGCCTTTCTCTGCTTCCTTCTTCAGGTTGTTCACCAACCCATCTGCATACTGGCCAATGATGGGGAACATCTAGACACAGAATACAACACCACCCAAAGTTAAATATGAAGACTCAAGACCTAGCTTTCATGGAGTAGTAAGTGATATTTTATAATGTCACTTCTAGGACATAAAGATAAAAGGCCATTATTAGGAAACTCAAATTCAGCAGGCTACCCTTGGAAAGAAACTGTCTTACTTTCTACCTGTCCCCAGATGCATTATTTAAGTTTCAAATTAAGTATCCTCTTATACTCTTACCTCCTTGAGCTTTCCACTGGTGAAGGTTGGAGACAGCAGTGTTCGAATTCTCTTCCAAGTTTCATCCTCAGATACAGAGATGGCACTTTTCATAAATCCCACAGCAGGAAAAGGCTAGAGTTAAAAGCAAAAGACATTTTGCTCTGAGTAAGTTTGGAGTTCTCAGCAGTCGAAGAGAATTTGTTAAATGGGCATCAATTTTTCAACAAATATTTAGTGACTGTCTACTTAGTGGCAGGACCTATGCTAGATATTCAATAAATACTTATCCCCAATGCCTGGCATCTCATGAGGGGGCAGGAGACATCCAGCCACCTGATGTGGTTTCCAGCCTTTATTCCAATCATATTTTCAGTGCAAATTGCCCATGTTTTAGAGAAACTGCTTTTTCAGGGGGAATAAATAGGAATAAGTCCTGGTATATCCTCCAGGGCTGTGCAGAACAGAAAGGGATTCTTGACCGATAGCCAGATAGCTTTAGAAAATTCTATATTGCTTCAGACCAGTTGTCTTTTACTTACATATACAACATAAGCAACCTGAAAAAAAGAATGTCTGGACATGGTGATTTTTTTAAAAAGTAGTTAATACTTAAAAAATTATGAATCTATTTGTTATTATTAAAAATAATAAAATTAGCCAAGACCGGTTTGGCTCAATGGATAGAGCGTCGGCTTGGGGACTGAAGGGTCCCGGGTTCGATTCCGGTGAAGGGCATGTACCTTGGTTGCGGGCATATCCCCAGTGGGGGGTGTGCAAGAGGCAGCTGGTCGATGACTCTCTCTCTCATCGATGTTTCTAGCTCTCTATCTCTCTCCCTTCCTCTCTGTACAAAATCAATAAAATATATTTTGGAAAAAAAAATAATAAAATTACATGGAAATCCTTATATTTTTCTACCAGCGATAGAAGAAGAAAAAGAAAGATAATTCTATTTCTCAGGCTGGGACTGGCCTATCAAACCAGTCTACTTGAGACTTTCTTCCTTATTTTAATACTATGTTTTGTTTTAAGATGTATATCTCCATTACACATCATGATAAAAACAACAACAACAAAACAACTCATCAACTAGGAAGAGAAAGTTTCTTAACTTGAAAAGAGCATCTACAGCTAGCATCACATTTACTAATGAGAGCCTGGGGGAACACCGTCAGAGGCTCCAGCTTCTGTTGCCCACAAAGAACAATGAGACCGCTGTCCACACGCAAAAATAGATCTAGGAGAGTTCAGTAGTTCACTCAAGGATCCTCAGTCACAGAGTGCAGAAAAAAGCAAAACACAACAACAACAACCCTGAGAATAACTGAACACATGGACAGGGAGGATAGTTCCATTTCGCCTGCATCCTGTCGTCCCCAGGCCAGCACTGCTCGGGGCCAGGAGGGAACTCGCCAGCAGAGAGGCTTGCCCTTGTTGCTGAAGGAACAGCAGGGTAAGCGCCAATTTCCTCTAACCTTCCAGGGCGCTGTACCCATGGCCTGCTTTGGTTTCACTGTGCCCATTCTGAAAAACCTAGTGACAGCAAAGAACAGAGAAGAGCAGGAACTGCTAGCGCAGTCATTTGTCAGAAGCTATCATGATTTCCCGTGTCCTGCTCTGCAGAAGACCCCGCCAGACCCCAGCAGCCGCTGAGGAAGCCAGCAGCCAGCACAGCTGCTGGGAACACCCTCCGGTTTGGCTGCTGCTGGTTCCACAGGTTTCCACGCTTGCAGAGTCTGGCATGCTGACCCCTGCCCTACCACCCTCCACACTCACTAGAGCTGCCCGCGCTGTGCCACCGCCCTGCGGTGGGGTCTCCCCCGGGGCCAGCACTGGTGTGCGTGGCTGCGCGTGTGCATAGCAGCAGCCCAGCTCCCCGCAGCTGCTCCGTGGGGGCTCAGTAGCAGGGTGGCTGCCTGAAGGTCCAAACCATGCACCTTCGGAGAGAGAACAAGCCCAGCCTCCCTTGTAATCTGCTCCAGCCCAGCCACTCCTAAATAGGACCTGCCCCTGTCTCCAACAAGTCCCACAGTCCACTTCTTCTCCAGATAACATACTGCCAGGGGACTTGGCAGGTCAGATCCTGTCCCTCCCACCTGCTAGGCGGGGCAGGTGATGGATGAAGGATAGCCTTTTCACAAATGGTGTTGCAGCAAATAGACACCCACGGGGGGGGGGGGGGGGGGACCTCCACCTACAGTTCACACCTCACACAAAAATTAGAATAAGATGGATCATATACTTAAATGTACAATATAAACCTATATAATATTTAGAGAAATAGGAGAAAATCTTTGGGGCCTAGGGCTATGAAAGGAGTTTTTGGACTTGGGCACAGAAAGCCCAACTCATAAAAGGAAAAAATTGATAAATCGGCTTCATCAATTAAAAAAAAATGTTTGCACTGCTAAGGACTCTCATTAAGGAAAAGATAAGCTACACACTGTGACTATAAAAGATTAATGAGAGGAAGTCTTATGGTGATAGAACAGTTCTATCTCATTGTGGTGGTAGTTACACAAATCTATACATGTGATAAAATTTTATAAGCAACACACACACACAAATGAGTGCAGATAAAACTGTTGAAATCTGGATAAGCTCTGTGGATAGCACCAATGTGAAATATCTGCTCTGAATTGTCCTATAGTTATATAAGACATTACTTTTGAGAAAAAAAGAATGAAGTGTACATGACATGGTACCTACATGGATAAATTTTTGACAACTTTCTGTTTATCATTTTTTCAATATTAAAAATAACAATTTAGTTTTAAAAGGAATGAATACCTACCCGCCGATTTGTGAAGATAGAATAACATTCTTTTACTAGGACTGCTTTGATCAACTCTGGATCCGTGATCGCCAACACAGGCTGCCGACCATCATAGAACCTATGTTGGGGAAAAAGAGCTTATTGAAATGAACAAGACAGCCCAGCTGGTGTGACTCAGTGGTTGTGTCAACCTCTGAATCTTGAGGTCACGGTTCAATTCCTGGTCAGGACACACGCCCAGTAGGGTGTGTGCAGGAGGCAGCCCATCAATGATTCTCATCAATGATGTTTCTATTTCTCTCTCCCTCTCCCTTCTTCCCTAAAATCAATGAAGATATGTTTTAAACAATAAAGGGAACAAGCCAGTTTCTGCAGCTGGAGCCACTCCTGGAAGTCTAGACTTACATTCTGATGCTCCATAATCCACATTCCTGGAGACCATTGTTACCGAAATAACAGAACATTTAAATTCGGCTGGTGTTTTTCGTTGTTTTTAAAGTATTACATATGTCTCCTTTTTCCCTGATTGACATCACCCCCACCTCTCCCACCCCCGAGGGCAAGTCTCCATGCCCCAGTGTCTGTGCCCATTGGTTATGTTAATACCCACACATACAAGTCCTTTGGTTGATCTCTAATTCCCCCTCATTGTTGTTTTGATTTGTATCTCTCTAATAATTAGTGTCTTTGAGCATGTTTTCATATGTCTCTTGCCTTCTGTATGTCCTCTTTTACTCTTTTATTAATTTTTATTATTTAAAAAAAATTTTAAATATATTTTATTGATTTTTGTACAGAGAGGAAGGAAGAGAGATAGAGAGTTTGAAACATCAATGAGAGAGAGTCATTGACCAGCTGCCTCTTGCACACCCCCTACTGGGGATATGCCTGCAACCAAGGTACATGCCCTTGACCGGAATCGAACCCGGGGCCCTTCAGTCCCCAAGCTGACGCTCTATCCATTGAGCCAAACCGGTCCCAGCTATATGTCCTCTTTTAAAAAGTTTCTATTTCAGTCCTTTGCCCATTTTTTGATTGGATTGTTTATCTTCCTTTTGTTAAGTTGTATGAGTTCTCTGTAAATTTTGGAGATTAAACCCTTATTGGAGATAACATTGGTAAATATGTTCTCCCATGCAGTGGGCTTTCTTGTTGTTTTGTTGATGGTTTCTTTTGCTGTGTAGGAGCTTTTTGTTTTGATGTAGTCCTATTTATTTTCTCCTTAGTTTCCATTGCCCTAGGAGCTATATTGGTAAAGATATTGCAACAATATATGTCTGATATTTTGCTATCTATGGAGTCTTCTAAGATTTTTCCAGTTTTCCATCTTAAATTTCAGTCCTTTAGCCATTTTGAGTTTGTTTTTGTGTATGGTGTAGATTAATGTTCTATAGTTTTATTTTTTTTTTGCATGTAACTGACCAAATTTCCCAGCACCATTTGTTGAAAAGACTGTCTTGATCCATTATATGCTCTTGTCTCCTTTGTTAAATATTAATTGAGCATAATGGATTAGGTCAATTTCTGGGTTCTCTGTTCTGTTCCATTGGTCTGTATGTCTGTTCTTGTGCCAGTACCATGCAGTTTTGAGAACAGTGGCTTTGTAATATAGCTTGATATCTGACATTGTGATCTCTTCTTCTTTCTTAGTATTGCTGTGGCTATTCGGGCTCTTTTTTTTTTTTTCCAGAGTCTTTTTTTATTCAGATGAATTTTTGGATAGTTTGTTCTAGGTCTTTGAAACATATCATTGATATTTTAATGGGGATTGCATTGAATCTATAGATTCCTTTGGGTAGTATGGGCGTTTTAGGGATGTTGATTCTATCATTCCATGAATATAGTATGTTCTTCCATTTGTTTATGTCTTCCTCTCTCTCTCTCTCTCTCTCTCTCTCTCTCTCTCTCTCTCTCTCTCTCTCTCTGTCTCTCTTTGTGGAATTGTCAGATTTTTTAAAAATATATTTTATTGATTTTTTTACAGAGAGGAAGGGAGAGATAGAGAGTTGGAAACATCGATGAGAGAGAGTCATCCATCAGCTGCCTCCTGCACGCCCCCCCTCCCACTGGGGATGTGCCTGCAATCAAGATACATGCCCTTGACCAGAATCGAACCCAGGACCTTTTAGTCCTCAGGCCAATGCTCTATCCACTGAGCCAAACCGGTTTCGGCTCTATCTCTTTTTTTCAATGTCCTGTAGTTTTCTGAGTACAGGTCTTTTACCTTAGTTTATTTCTAGGTATCTGAAATTTTTTGGTGTAATGGTAAATGAGATTTTTTTTTTTCTTAGTTTCTCTTTCTGTGAGTTCATTATTGGTGTATAAAAAGGCCAAAGATTTCTGGGTGCTAATTTTGTATCCTGCTACATTGCTGAATTCATTTATTTAGGTAGTGTTTACGTGGGAATTTCCTATACCAGTCTTCATAATTTTTGTATGTTTAAAATATTTCATTATAAAAAAAAGTTAGATTAGTAAATAGATGAAGGCCAGAAAATTATCTGAGTAGGAATAGCCACTGCAACTGGCCGAGAGTACTTTACAAAATCCTGCATCTCTTCAAAGTCAGAATAATAGAGTAGATAAATCAATACTTATATATACTAAACCTCTATTGAGAAGTCTTGGCTTAAACATTTTTTAAAACCCAAACTCCATATGCATGGAGGAAGTAAAAACAAAGCTGAGCAGATATGGTTTTCCATTCTGTTTACCTAGACCCACGGCCCTTTTTCAAAAGGGTATAACAAATGCAAGTTTAAAATAAAAAATTTTGGATTTTTAATTAACAGTCAATCATATGGGTAAGGGGTTATGATAGACATTTATGGGGATAGTTTAGAAGGGTTTGCCCTGGCTAGGTGGCTCAGTTGGCTGGCCTGGTGACTCAGTTGGTATTGTGAGTTTGATCCCTGGTCAGGACAATGTTTCTCTCTCTCTCTCTCTCTCTCTCTCTCTCTCTCTTCCTCCCTCCCTCTCCCCCTACTCCCTCTCTCCATCTTTCTCTTTCTCCTTTAAATCAATAAAAACATATCATCAGGTTAGGATTTTTTTAAAGTGTGGAAAAAGAAAGGTCTGAAATAATGCATTTTATTCAAACAAAGGATACCTAAGGGAAAAAAAGTAGAGAAGAGGGGAATAATGAGACGCTGGACAGAAAGTGACACCAGGAGTTCCTAGGCCATCAAAGTCTTGGGAGTATGATAACCATCAATTCCTATCTTGATTCAAAATGCAAACCTGGACACCTGGTGACATCTGGGGTCCTGGCAGGACAAGTCTACAAGAGCTTTACAATAGGTGGCTTTATCCTAAGAGGCTCTGGGCTGAGATTATCCTGCATGCATGGGGCCCCCAATCAAAACCACAAGTCAATCCAAAGGGATTTTCCCAAATACTCACCCCCATATCTTTCCATACTTTTTAAAACAGTCCATGTCAAAAGCCCCAAAACCCTGTAAGGAGAAACAAAATTAGATTATTAGCATAAATGTACTGAACTCTACTTCTAACTGGGACCAGTATTCTCAAAGCCCTTGAAGTTAGGCTTACTGTCTCACACGCAGATAGAAGGAAACTCTTATTCAGATGTGTCTTGGGAAACAGAGAGAAAATGGAGATGTTTGAAACACAGAACTGGAAATCACTCTTGAATTTTCTTCAAGTAGTGTTGACACTCGACTTACCCTTATCTATGATACCTAGTAACTCCTTGTCTTTTTTTTTTTCTTTTTCTTTTTGCAGTTTTTTTTTGTGTTTTGTGTGTGTGTGTGTGTGTGTGTGTGTGTGTGTTTTAAATTTCTTTATTGATTAAGGTATCACATATTTGTCCTCAACCCCCATTCTAGTCCCCCACCCCTCCCCACTCATGCCCCTACCCCTCTATTGTCTTTGACTGCTGGTTAGGCTCATATGTATGCACACAAGTGGGTTTTGATATCTAAATCCAGCCTACCACCAGGAATGCTCAGGGCCTACTCAAGAATGCAAATAATCCTTTCCACTAATATTTACACAGTAAAATAAGATTGTTTTAGAGTAATAAATTTGACAGTAAAATAGTAGACAAGTTTTCAGGCTAATTTAAATAGGCTAATTGAAATAAGCGAATATTCTAGAAAAATTAATTGCACTGGACAAAAAGCTGTTCCTAAAGTGTTAACTAAAATTTTTATTGGTAGTTCATCTCATGATAAAATTTCACAACAGGAAATGAACCTAAAGCAGTCATATTTTAATGCAAAAAATTAAAATGTAAAAGCTATCAAGACTATATTATAAAAATTTCAAAAGCCTCCTAATATTTAAATCAAAAAAGGGGAAAAGTAGAAAAATATCATATAAGGAAAAATATCCTGTAACTAAATTACATCTAGAAAATTTTTACTTTAGAAAATCAATTGTAATGCTAACAGCAAGACACCCATGAAAAACACACATGGTGTCAAAACAAGCCAGAGGAAAATTATTTGGGCAAAAAATGAAAAAGGATCCCAATTCAAATTTATAGAAAATATTCCTTTATTAACTCCTTGTCTTTTTAAAGGGTTTTTGTTGTGAATGTGCTGTCTCTAAAATCTCATATCCTCCATAGACACTCCAGAAATGAAGCGGAGAGGGAGTAAGGGTGACTTTCACTCTCTTTGACCTCCTGGTCAAACATCCTTTTCATTTATCTCATGAGTCTTAGCAGAATTAGGAAGCTTAAGACACCAGTGACCACTTTTAGTCTAGCAGGTTTAGTCTAGATGTCTAAGGCATCTTTGTTGAGTGAGAAGTGAGTGAGTGAGTGAGTGAGTGAGTGAGTGAATGACCAAATGACTCGCTTTCCAGTTTTCTACCTCAACACAGAAAGATTGGTAAATGTCACCACTCTAGGAGGACAGAGCAAATGAAAACACTTTCTCTGTGTTTTCACTTCTGTAATTAAAAACACACATCTTCATGTTGCTAAGTTTCAGATATTTGATATTTTAATTATGCAAAGGAAGGTCTCAGAAATGTGGGTCTTGGGGTACATCCATAAGGAGTTGATCTGGGGAAGGTGGAGAGGACATTATTGCCTTTTCAGTAGGCAAAGTTCTTTAATAAAGGCATTAAGACCTCACCTGGGAGGATGAGCATTTCAGAATCAAGCCTCTCTCTTTCAGGAAAGGAAATCTGAGGCAGAGAGCAGTCTGCACAGAAGATTCTACTCGCTGGCCTAATAAACATGACTCATAACTTTCCATGTAAGGGTCAGGCCCTGTGTAAAGCATAGGGCTGCATTAATCATAAAGGCTCAGCCAAAATTAGCAGTTCATGTGTCATCTAGGACATTCCATTCAGTTAATTTTTAAAGTATATTTTTATTGATTTCCGAGAGGAAGAGAGAGGGAGAGATTAAAGCATCAATGATGAAAATCATTGATTGGCTGCCTCCTGCATGCTCCCTAATGGGGATCAAGCCCACAACCTAGGCTTGTGCCCTTGTCCAGAATAGAACCCAGGACACTTCGGTCCATAGGCCAACACTCTATCCACCATGCCAAACAGCTAGGGCCATTCAGTTAATTTAATTTTAAAATAATTTCATCAAATCATCTCCTTTCTAATAAGGAGAGAATATGCTAATTGACTGCCACACCCTCAAAGATGGAGGCGCCCACAGCCACAAGATGGCAGTGCTCAGTCCTCTCAGCCCCGCCCTCATACCTGCCTCCAGAGTCCCCCATCTCCTAGCCCCCCAGGGCCAGCCCAAGGCATAGGCAAGCCTCAGATGGTGGCTGCTTAGCTGCCCAGGGTCACCTGAAACTCAGGTAACCAGGGCTGGCCAAGGCTTGTGCTATTGGCAGTGGTAGCAGCAGAGGTATATGGGGGTTGCCTTTCCCTGATCACCAGGTCGACTCCCAGCCCTGAGCGCTCCCCTGTGAGAGGGGGCAGGCTGAGCTGAGGACCACCCCCCCCTCCAGTACATTAATTTTCATGCACTGGGCCTCTAGTTTCATATAACTCTGCTTTCAGTGTAGTGTTTTTTGTTTGTTTGTTTTTTAAGCCACACAATTCACTTAGAGATTAAATATTTGAAGTTGAGGGACAAACTCAATCTTGTCTCAGTTATATCCACTCCCTCTCAAACTCAGCCACAGGATGCCTCCTTTGAGGGCAGAGAAGTAGAGCAGACAGCTCTTGTTCCATCTCTCAAATCCCCCAAAGACATCAGGGGGAGCAAATGGTGACTTAGGGCCATGGGAATACCTGCAGGGATTTATCTGCTCTTAAGAGAATTCAAGTGTTTATGTGCAAATTGCCCGATGGGGACTACTTGGGCTGCCTAATACACTGAAGTTTCAAAGCTACCCAAGAGGAATCTAGAGAAAGCTACTTAAAGTGTATCCTGTGAACAAGAAGTTCACATCCGACTTCCTGGGCACGACCAGGCATCCCTTCATGCTTTTCTCCTAATCCTAAGTATGAGTATGTCTTCCTGGGGATCTGCACCTCCCAGAAAGAAAATGCTCCTCATGATGCTCACAAGTTGGGACGAGGCATGTGCTGAATCAGCTGAGAGCTCTGCTGCCCCACTGAGCCAACCCCTGAGGCTCCTGACAGCTGACCCTGAGCTGGGGGAAACCTGGCCCTGTGCAGGGCGGGGCCTTTGATGCCCTTTCTGGACACTTCCTCCTGAGCAAGGCCCTTTTACTAGGGAACTCAACTTCGATTTTGGAACCATAATAAACAATATAAGAAGCCCAAACAGCACTCACCTTACGGTAGGCCAGGGCAGTTCCTAAAAAAGGTAAGGGTTTTGGCCCAGGAATTCCCAGCTTTTTAAAAAGTCCATGTGTGTAAGTCCCATATCTACAAAGTGAAAGAGAAAGCCAGGTTACAAGGATTATGGATTAGATCCTGGGGCTGGAACAGTCACTGTCTCAGAACTGGAACAGCCAAGGTAGGGAATGAACATGTAGATAAGTAGTAACAACTCCCACAGCAATAATTAACAAAGCAAATCAATTAAAGCCATTTCTGCTTCTGAACTTTCAACATGTTACATGAACTCTCAAGTGAGGCCAAGCAATTGAGTGAATGTGTCAGCCACATTGGTCCCACCTACTGACCTGGTCTAAAATCTAAACTCGCCTGGTTCCGTATCAAGGCAGAAGGTGGGCTAAGTGAACTTTTCGTTTACACTTCTAAGAATAAATTTTAAAATCTAATAATTTTAAACCTTGGTGTTGTTTTTTTTTTGCCCTGGGAATTGAGAAGCAAACTTCTTTACATGTAAACTTGCCCTTAGGCTATCAAAAGGTGTAGCCATTCAAGTGTAAATGGACACATTGTTTAAACATAGCTGCTGGTGGAATTGGATTACCTGTTCTGGGTGGGAAGGGCTTGTCTTCCCCTTTCTCCATTAAAATTAAGGTGTTAGCTTTAAAACCTCTTTTTGGCAAGAGACCTTAAACTTTCAGAACTTTAAATTTTTCAGATAGTAAATCAGTTACTTAGCATTTTCTCATATCAATAATACCTCCACATGCCCAATGATACACTTCACACAAAAGACATTTCCAAATAGATCAACCAACCTCATCCAGGCCCCACACAAGACACTCACAGATCAACACCCCAGCGCTATACTAACTCAACACATCCAGATCTAAGCCTTCATCACTTGATTAGCAGACCCTCAAGTTCCCCCAAAAGTTTCCAGCCATGTCTGAGAGGCAGCCTTGGGGTGGAGGCAGGCAAGAAGCGAGCTGTTCTCCGCGCCTGGCCTCTGTTGCTCTGGTCCGTTCCACAACCAGCTGCTCCGGGTCTGGCCACTGCCGCTCCTGGCCTGGCTACTGCTGCTCCGGGCCTGGCTGAACCCGACCTGGCTGCTCCAGGCTTGGTTGCTGCTGCTCTGGGCCTGAAAGCCAATCATTTTTATTGCACTTACATTGTGTTGCACAGAGGGCATTGTCTACTCTACAGCTACTCACTCATGGTACAGCTGCTGTACCAGTGTTTTCTAAGACCACAATGTGGTTTAGTCAGTGGTGCCAGTATCTAGTGACAGACCCAGACCACACAGTATGACTCTGATGGTCCCTCTCCCCATCTAGCAGATGAGATGCCTACACTGTTGCCCTCTTGAAGACCTCCTGTGAGACCAGAACCAAGAGTATCTGGGAGAAATGTTCTCCCATCCCATCCAGACTGCTACCTGGATGCCTCTCTTGTCATCACTGGCTCACAATCTCACTCACCTGCACTGTGACATTAAAACAACTGGCTGGGCAGGTGTGTTTAAAAACACATGTACAATATATGTTATAGAAGTGTATATTTGTACAATGGACTCATATTCCTGACATTATTCTAGAAGTATGAGGTTAATTATACACCTTTGCAGCCAAAAATTCTGAACCAACAGCCCTTTTTTTTATCCTTCAGAAATAACATGCTAGAAGAGTGTTATCTTTATAGTAAAATAATCTAGGATTAAATAGAATGAAATTAAGAACTATCATTTAATTTTAAAATGTCATCAGACAGTAAATATCTTGCCACAATAAACTCTATAATATTTATTTCATAGAATTGAAACAAAGTACCATATTTTCCGGCATATAAGACGACACTATGTTCTAGTAAAAAGCCTGCTCAGATTGGCCAGAGTCAGAGAGGCGGTCTATTAAAAAAAGAACTGGTGTTGCCTCAGAAGTGGGGGGTAGTCTTATACAGCGAATATAGGCCTAAACCTGTGTTTTAACTGTAAAATTAGGGGGTCGTCTTATACACCCAAAAAGAAGGTATATATATTTTCTCTATTCATGCCATCATGATTTCCTACTTTCAATGAAAGTGAAATTGGGATAGAGAGCAAATGGGACATGGAGGGGGCCTTCTCCATCCACATGTCCAAAATGACTCCTCCCTCAACCTGTTTCATGATGCCAGGAATCTCATGCTTGAAAGGGATTCCTCTGCTAGATGGTTTGGTTCACCCTCCTGCACGGCAACTTAATGGGGAAAATATTTAAATCCAAATTGGCTTTTGAGCTCATGCCTGTGCAGATAGTTAGCAGATTTCATAGTGGGGGGAAATAAATCTCTATAATGATGCCAACCCTCTCCAAAGACTAGAAGAAAAAGGTGAAAGGAAATAATACAGTTTCAAGATTTCTACTTAGTTTCTTCTGCTCTACTGCATTCTTGCTTAGGGGTAACAGTCCTGCCTTTTTACAGAACATCGGAACTAAGTCTTAGGAGGAGAGTGTCAGGAGAGAGACAGAATAGAGGAAAGAGCTAGTGTGAAGAGAAGGTGAGACAATCACCAGGCCACCCCCCACCCCGAAGTTTGGGGTGCACTCACTCTAGTACGTGGTGCCAATTATGCCAGGCACTGGGAGGGAGAAAGCAGGTACAAACCTAGTGACACAAGGGCCATTCCTTGCACACATCTCCAGCAGCAGACACAGAACTGGAAAGATCATGAGACAAAACCCCAAGCTACTCCCTCCTGCCTCCAGGATCCCTGGAGCTGGGAAAGGGGCAAGGACCCCACTGCATGAAAGTCAGCTGTTTTTAATCTGCCTCTGCTAAATTCGGGATAATTTCTTAGGCCTACCCAAGCTGTCAGTCAATCAGAAAATCACCCCCAGGAGCAAGTAATGTCAGCAAACCCTCCAGATTACAGAAGCTGGGAGTTGGGTGAACATGAGATGCCTCTCCTGCAATATAAATCAGAGTAAGATCAGTAATTCCCCCTTTGGTGTTTGTGCATCCAACACTTAAGCAGTTACCCCTCAGTTAACTATTGGGTTTCCAAAATGGGTAAGGGAGGTCTGATGAGCTCCCCAAGTCCAAGATTACAGAGGCCATGAGCCTGGACAGTAACTCACAGATAGAGGAGCACCAGGCTGGTAGCCAGAAGAACCCAGGTTCCCTCGGAAAAGCTTGGGATCAGGTCCATGGCCATGTTCCTTCCAAGGTTTTCTTCTCTTGAGTTTTCCTTGTATCTCTGTGTGTTCTTCTTAGCAGGGCTGTGTGCTGAGAGTTTTCCTTTCCAAGCCATGGATATTCAGTGAGACTGGGTGTTTATATATACTGGGAGAGGAGGTGGGGCTTGAGTTTCAGCCAATAGGGCCATCTGTGCATACACTGGTATGACCTCTCCACTTCGAAGGCTGGAAAAACATCATGGACACTCCCACTTTAATCTCCCTTGAGTTCATATTCTGTGGGAAATCAATAAACAACTCACTCCATTTTACTGGTAAACACAAAGGTTACAGAAGCTCAAGTAAAGCCACTGGCATATCTTTCAACTGCCCTTGACTCCATGGCTGCCTGCACTAAGAAAAAGAAAAAAAATACTTGAAATCTTTTAAACAAGCAAGGTCTACAGATCTTAATCCATGAAGTTTCCTTTGCCAAGAAATGTCTCTGTGCACCTAGAAGGCTCCTACTCATCCTTCAAATTTCAGCTCAGATAGAACCCCTTCTATTGGAGTCTTTCCTAACCAACCTCCCTGAACAGATACAAACTCTTCCTTCTCTGGGCAGCTTCTATTCTTTGCAGACAATTTTATTTTTGTCCTAGTAACATATCCCATCATTCTTTTAACATCATTTCAGGCACAAGCCAGTTTTGCTAAGTGGTTAGAGCACCAGCACACAGAATAAGGGTCTCCGGTCAATTCTGGGTTGGATTCTGGTCAAGGGCTCAGACCTCAGTTGCAGGCTTGATCCCCAGCCCCAATTGGGGTGGGTGCAAGAGGCATCCAATGGGTGTGTCTCTCTCACATTGATGTTTCTTTTTCTGTGTCTTTCTCCCTCCCTTCCATTCTCCCTAAAAATCAGTGGGGGAAAAATATCCTCCAGGTGAGGATTAACAACAACAAGACAAAGAAACAAACAAAAATCTCATTGCTTCTGTAAATGATGACTTGTAAATTCACATGTAGCTTACACAAACAGCCTGTTTGCTTGAAGGGTTCTAGGAGCAAAGGAAGCCTTGAGGCATTTCAGTTCCAGACTTGCTCACCTTGGACCCTGAAATCAGGATAACAAAACCCAGACCATCACTTGACTGGCTCCAAGATGGTTATTGAGAAGACTGTGCTGACTCCCTCAACAGAGAGCCCACAACTCAGTCCTGGTCTCCCACTGGTTTCCTCTGTTCTGCTTTCCCCTCTCCTCTCATAAAACCCCCGGCCTGCACTGAGGTGGTAAGGTGGTCTTTGCGATATTCGTCCATTGTCTTCTCAGGCTGGCAACTCTTGAATAAATCACATTTCCTTGCACCATATCTCTCAACTGCCTTGGCTTTCAGGAGGCAGGCAGGTGAACCTGGGTTCAGTGTCAACCTCTCTCCTGTCCAACATCACTGTTAGTCTCTATACAAAGTTCCCTCGCCAGATAAGAGCTCCTCAAGGGCACATTCTGGGTATTATTCACTATTATGTTTCTAGTGCCTAGCAGAACACGTTATTTATAGTGTGTATTGAGAAATGTTGGCAGAGTTGAGTTGGGAGGAGTAATATTGCTGGATCCCCTGCATGTCCTTTCCATGTGACTCTTTAGTGAACACACTTCTTACTAGATGGTTAATACAAGAGAGCCTGGCTATGCCTCAGTCATCATTGCTGCACATCATTCAGGCTGATCCATGCCCTTGAAGGAGAGGCAGGACATGGACAAGATGGTGGTGGCTATCCCAAGCTTATCAATTCATCCTGCCTCCTGTCCCAGCCCTCAGAGAGTCCTGCAGTAGACAGGAAGTTAGACGGATTCATGACCAAAGAATGGCTCCCTCCTTCTGGAAAGACTGCAAGTCAAGACCAATTGGTGTGAAGAGGAGAACAGCAGCTGGATGGCCAAGTGAATCCTGAACACCTTAGCCACCACGAACACTGCAAATGTCCCTCTAGGCAGCACGCATTGCACGGGGACTGCAGAAGCACGGCATGTGCTTTTCTCTGAGGCAAAGGGGGTAAGAGAAGATGGCTTCCTTGTTTTTTGACTAGTGGGGGTTTTCTAATGGGCTGAAGAGCTGGTAGGTATAGGGCTGCAATAGCAGTCAGTGTATATCAGAAAATCAGTGTTCTGTGGCCTTTCTGCCACATTCCTGATGCAAGAAATCCAAATACGGAGGATCTGGAAATTCTACCAGCTCATTATCATCCCGCCGACCCATGTTCTGTGCTGCTTGGCTGGAGAAATCATGGATTGTGCCCAAAGGAAACCTTAAATGTTCTTAAAACTCAACGAAGCAGGAAATATTTATGCTGTGTTTGTGCACTTCCTTCTCTCTTTATCCTTTCTCACTTTCAAACCTTCTGTAGAAAGCGGTACTCATCTGTCACCAATTCTTTAGGTCCCTCTGGCCAGAAATTCTCCAGGGTTGCATAAGAAATTCTCCAGGGTTGGATTGAGTGGGTGTATGTCTCATTGGTAAAATGCAGAGAGTCCCAACTATCTCACCCACATCCCTTATTTATGTGTTGGGTGCACAGAAGCTTGTTATGAAGTCTGAAATTTCTACCATCAGTTTGTCATCTCTGGGTTAAGGTTTTCTCCCAGAGGTACCTTTTAAATTCCATAGCTTCCCCTGGAAAGTGCAATGCAGGAATACATTTACTCATCTACGCATTGGTTTAAGGCTAAGTGCATGCATGTTTGTGGAGTTATTATGCCAGGTTATGGGCTACAAACCATACAGCCACCATCCTCAAGGGCAAGGATCCTGAGTCTTATATTCAGTCTTGGCACATGGACTGAACACAACAGACATAGATCCTAATCATAATCGACTGAACCCAATCAACATGCCCACCTCCTCCACGTTTTTTTTTGTGTGCCACATCTCCACCAACCACAGGCCCAGCCACCAAAACTTAGATACCAACGTGTTGCTGGAAATGGGCAAGATCAGGTTTTACCTTACTGCGAGTTGAGTTATAGACACATAATCTTGCTTTCATTTTTGGCACTCTCAAGATTGTATCCTGTGAGATTTGAATCTAAGGCACAAATCATTTCAGAATAACTCTGCCTCCTCATGCTCTCAGCAATTCTCTCGGCCTGCGGATGTCAGGACAGGCTTCCGAAGAGGTGCCACTTGAGCTTTATTTAACATTACAAAAGGACAGGAGTATCAGGCTAATGGTGCTCCTCACATCCCTGACTCCCTGACAACCTGCCTTCTTATACTGATACCTGATCCCAACGCTTCCTTGAATGCTATTTGAGATTCAACTTTGACCATTTGCCAAGGAGATCAAGAAAGCAGATAGGCCATTCTCTGCTGATGAGGACATTATGCTTCAGACTTGCATAATTACTTTAACTTTGTTGTACTAAAATTATCTGTTAATTTGTCTCTGTATCAACTTAAGTAATATCTGGGTCTTAGTCATATTTGTACTGTAAGCATTTAGAGCAGAGTTCTGATAGAAGGTGATGGAGCTCAGAAGTACACGGATGAGTAGATGAGAGGCATGGGTTGTGTGGGGTGTGCTTCCAACACATAATGCATTTTTTCACCCTTTTACACAACTCTTAGTATGTGAGTCTTTTCTTGTGGGATGTTTCCCCCTGAGGAGCAAGACCATTCACATTGTTTAGGGCACGGTGCTGGCTACATTTTAGTCCTAAGGAATGACTAGCCTACAAGTTTTGGGATTTATTCCAACCTGCTGGACCAGTCCCTACGGCCAATAGGGCCAGGGAGTGGTCGTGTTAGGCTTAGTTATGAAATCAAGGCAGTTAAGTTTGATTGTAGAGAAAGAATAAAGCATATTAATTTCCACAGAAGTTTTGTTCCCAAAAAGAATAAGGAAGGCTTTGTGTTTGGGGGAGTGAATTAAGTAGTCAGTACTTATCAGATGAACCCTACCCTTTCCTTGTTTGGGCGCTTCCTACGGGAGTGGCTGAAACCAAACAAGTAGCCAAAGGCCAGGGTGGGCACATTAGTTATTAATGCGCTCTAACATATTATCCCAGAATGCAACAGCTTAAAACAGCAAAGAGCCTGACGGGTATGGCTCAGTTGTTGAACATCGGTCCATGAACCAGGAAGTCATGACTTGATTCCCCATCAGAGTACATGCCTAGGTTGCAGGCTCGATCCCCAGTTGGGAGCATGCATGAGCACTGATGATTCGAACTCTCTTTCCCACACCCTCCCTCTGTCTGAAACCAATACAAACATATTTTTTTAAAAACAACAAGAATAAACATTATTTTTGTCAGTTTCTTTGTTAGGAATCCAGGTATGGCTTAGCTAGAAACTTCTGGCTCAAGCTCTTTCATGAGGTTACGGTCCTCCTGTCAGGCTGGGCTGCACTGCCATCCTAAGATTTGAGTGGGGGAGGATTTACTTTCAGATCCATTTAGGTGGTTAGTTACAGGTTTTAGCTCCTCACAAGCTCCTGGCCTGAGTTCATCACTGGCTCTTGACCATAGGCCTCCCTCAGTTCTTTCAGACCTGGATTTCTTCACAGGGCAGGTCCAAACCAAAGGGCAACTGGCTTCTTTCAAAATGAGTGAGTGAGAGCAGATGCCCAAGATGGAAGCTGTAGATGTTAAAAAAATAAAAATTTTTTATTAGTTTATTTGAGCCAAACTGATAACATATGCTGGGGAGCAAGATCTCAAGTGCTTCAATGAATAACGGTTTTTGCAGTTTCTTTGTTGTGCATTTGAAATTAAGGAGGGAATGTAAGGAAGATTACATGAAGGTGAGAGAAAGCAAGGCAGGGATTGGATTATAGGATAGTTAAAATTATTTGCTCTCTTGAAGGTGGGTAAATCTTAGAAGGGGGGAGGTCTGAAAGGATTATCCATCCATTAGAAGGAGAGGTCTAAATAGAAGCATTTTAAACAATGGACATGGCTTGCCTAGGAAAAAGATAAACCTCTTACTAAAAAGTTACATGACATGAGTACTGAGCGTGACCTGCCTGGTTAGGAATTTATGGTCAGATCATCCTGTGGGGTTACTTCCCATAAGACCTCTTTTTAAATTCACAATTCTCCCTTTTGGTCATACGTCAAACCAAAGGATGCATTAAAGACCAACTTTTTTAGTC